TAAAATGGAAAGTCACACTGGTAGTAGTAATCTGTGCAAGAAGCATTGCTAGCTTAGCTCCAAGATGTTTTGGAACTGTGAGGAATTAATCCTAATAAATTTAGCTTCCCTTGGTATAGGCAGCTAGGTTTCAAGAGTAAAGCAAAGCAAGCAATAGTTTTGACTTTGTTTCTACCTTCAAGACTGGTCCTATACAAAGATGACTCTGTTCCATTTAGCATCCTGTGGAAATCAGGGCATGACTTGCATCCTGGTGTCTAAAAAGGGAAGCCCTTGAGCACAGTTTATCTGACTTGGCTGCTGTGTCACAAATTGCAAGAAATGTTGTCATCAGAAAAAGTCATAAATCTAAGGGGCTCACAAGCTGTCAATAATGAAACTGATTTTCTTAAGTGATTCAAAATTATCCCCATCTAAAATGTTTAAAAATATACAGATACTATTTCTGTTTGGGAAGTTTCTGGAGTGCACATATAGTACTTAAAAACTAACCGTTTTTAATTTAAAAAACATCCATTCTCAGAGGGTTGAACTCTGACAAATTTGGAAGATCCAGTTTGGGAAAAGCTATTCTACTGGAATCATAATTCTAGACAGCAAAATATTTATTTATCTTTCAGTTACCTTCACTTTTTGGCTTCTTTAATTAGCTGCAATGCGCCTATGGCCTCATACTATTTTTTTTTGCCTCAAGTGAGTCCTGACTCCCCCAGTTTTCTAGGCAACGTTTTTGGAAATGGTTTGCTACAGCTTTCTTCTAGGGGTGAGAGAGTGACTAGCATAAAGTCACCAGTGGGCTTCCATTCCTAAGGCAGGACTAGAACTCAGGTTTCCCCGTTCCTAGTCCAGCACTTAACCACTAGACCAAACTGGTTCTGTCTTTCTCATGCTTGTTAAGGAGACAGCATAAAGGATTCCACTGGGAACTCACCAGTCAGCTTTTCTCTTTCCCACTGTCTAGACCTTCTGTTCTCTAAATTACTGTTCCTTTCTTTACATACAGTATTTTCAAGCAGATCATAGTATACTGGTTGCAATGCTGACTATTTAGTGCATGGAGAATATTTGAGTGTATTTATACACATCTTATCACTCAAAAAAGCAATATCTCAAATGCAATTCAATCCAAATTCCTTTTTATGCATTTCCTAAGCTAAGCAAGTAATCTAAAAAATATTCCAGATTGGCTCATCCAGAGACATGCAATGGAAACCTTCATACCTTAAAGGCCACCATTATCCACAAACACATTAACCTCCATTAGAATTTGCGACCTCCATCCACAATTCAGATAAAACTACAGTTCCACCCACTACTTTACCCTGCACTTATCCTACACATTGTAACTCACAAACCTTAGAAACTAACAACTTACTGAGATAATAATTTTATTGCTTAAATGCTAAAGAAACACATCTGTTATCAGAAGAAAAATGCTGCAGCAGTTATTCCAAACTTTACTTATTAGCAGAAAACCCCCAAGTTTAACTGTTTAGTTCCTCCAAACATTCATTAATTTTAAATTAGCCACATAATATGAAGCTAAAATAATTTCTTTCAGGGAATGCATACATGTGAAAATCCAATGCTAGAGGCAAAAGATAACTATCATTCTCATGTTCCATTTGTAATCTTCCAGAGTCATGTAGTTAGTTATAATTGAATGCTGGAGAAGATGCACCCTGGCCTGACCCAGCAAACCACTTTGTAGGTTCTTCTGCTCTTAATATTTGTTAAAGCCTCCTGACATTTATCTGGCAAAATTACCCATTTTAAAGTACATAGGGTTATTGCTGCTGAAGTTATCTGTCCTGTGTTAAATTATCTGTCACTACGCTGCAATGCACAGGGAAAAATGAGAATTGCTTTGTATTCTGTTATCATTGTACTGTAGAAAGGGAAAGAATTTGGAAGTTTGCCTGTCTATGATAGTTCTTGTCTTTGTTCTTTCCAACCCAATGAATGATGGAAAGAAATTATGTAAAGAGAATTGTGACTCTGAAAGTTAGCACAGTCACTCTCCAAAATATGAACAGAATGGAGTAAAATTTGGCATGCTGGGAGAAGCCAGTAAAAGAAGTTTAAGTTTCAAGATGGGATGGATCAGGCCAAGGGTTATAGAGAATGAATGAATGAATGAATGAATGAATGAATGATTTCCCCAATGCATCCCTACAGAAGAGAAAATTGGGCCACAGCTTGTGATATTGACAACCATTTCATCCCAGTCATGCAACCCACAGCTCAATGTATGTAACCTACCTTTCCAGGGCACAGACACAAACATACAATCACTGATGATAAAGAGGTTGAAAATAATTCCAGAAACCATGCTCGGTATGCTTTCCCTACCTTACTTATACTACAAACTGTTGGTGCAATTTATTCTTACCTACAGGAAGTCTGACATCCTTCCCTTATTCGAAAACACTGGAAATATATTATATCCAATCAAACCAATCTTTATTATAGTCATAGACGATTACAGAAAATATTTTCAATATTCTAAAAGTGAATAAGATGGAAGGATAACTCATTTACTAACAATATTGAACAGGCAATCTTAGTGCTGTTACTAAATTTGAGATCTAAAAATGGAAAAATTAAAAGGCACCTAGAATTAAAAGCAAAATCCTGTTAATTTTCAATAGAACCAAGAATTTTAATATCATTTTAGAGCATAGGTACCCACTTCTGATTAAACTATATGACGTCTATTAAAGTTATCTTAGCTTTGTATTGAGAAAAAGGAACTGGAAATCCACAAGATTTTACATGGCTCACTTATGTTCCAACTTTTATTTCTTCTTTCCCAAGTGATAAAAATATTGATTTGACCACAAACAATTGCTTTAAATGAGTCCAAAACAATCTCTAAATTTGCAGAATATCTACTTGTATTAAAAAAAAATCCTGGAATTCTTGTTTCAATTGCTTTATAAAATATGAGTTTCTTAATAACAATGTATTTCAATATTTCCAAGAAGCAACGTATTTTTTTCTTTAAAAAAATGAAAGTGTTATCGGAATATTGTCAAAAATTATTACCGAGCCTATATTATATTTACAGCTTGTGTGCCACACACACACACACACACACACCAAAAAATCCACCACTGACACTCTTTACAAGAGCCAAGCCTAGTGGCTAAACAGCAGAGATATTGAATTCTTTTAAATGTTTTAAATGTTCTCCAGTTCCAGTTGAAAAATAACAATCAAGCAAATCAACCTATAAACTAATAATTAAACCTTGGGTTCCACCCACAGCAGACCAGAGATTGTATTTAATATTCACATGCTTCCAAAGTTCTATTAAATAGGAGTTGGCTGCTCTTACATGTAGGGAAAGATACCAAAGGTTGTGGAGCAGCAGGGAAAGAGAAATACAAGTAGTCCTCACTTAACAACCATTCATTTAGTGACTTTTTGAAGTTAAAACTTTGCTGAACAAAGGGACTTACAACTGGTCCTCACGCTTACAACCGTCGCAGCACCCCAGCAGTCCCGTGATTACAATCCAGGTGCTTGGCAACCAGCTTGCACTTACGATGGTTGCAGTGTCCCAGGGTCCTGTGATTACCATTTGTGACCTTCCTAGCCAGCTTCCAGCAAGCAAAATCAATGGGGAACTGCATGATTTGCTTAATGGCCGTAGTGTTTCGCTTAATGGCCGCTGCAAAAAAGATCTAAAATCAGAGGCGACTTGCTTAACAACCAGCCAGTTTAACAAGAAGTTTTCTGGTCCCTATTGTGGTCATTAAGCGAGGACTACCTGTACAGTATACACGTCTAATTGATTGCCCCACATACAGCAGGCTTCACACACATGTATCATAGTTTGTTTACCCATAACACCTTAAATAAACTATGGTGACTAATACCAATACCAAACAAATCCATTATGAGATAGCATGATGTGCACACCCAATCAACATGCAGGTCTCAGTTTGCGCCACCGGCTACACAGAATGTGCCCTCAATTGACTCATTGCACTGCTATCATTTGCACAGGTGAGGAGATTTAGCAGCAACTGTTCCTCTTAAAATAATGAAAAGACTCGGCCCTTTGCCCCAACAACCATTCAATGCAGTCCAACAAATAGGGATTGAAAGCCAACTTTGCAACTATTTCTTGACATCAGCTGGCAAGGCTGCCAAATTAGTTGCCTAAACACAAACAGTCTAAAATCAGAATAGCATACCATCAAGTACAACTGCAAAGAATTTGAAACAGGTGCTTTGCAAAGCACGTTACTGTGAGCAAATAACCTCTCCTTGAAGCATTAAAGCCTCAGTTTCCTTTAGAAAATTGGCATGGCTGCTCTGAAAGCTGTCCCTGGCTGTCTGTGCAGGCATTCGCTGTCTTAGCAGGAAGTGCTGTTTAAGTATGTAGAAGCACATGCAGACAACTGGAGGCAGTGTTCAAAGCAGCTGCATTAGTCTTCCAGAGGATGCATCTGCTGTAGTAGTCTGAGGAAAGGTACTTCACTAGCACTAACATGCTTGGTAAAGCAACTTTTTCAAATGTTTTGCACAGTCCTACTGTCAAGTTCAACTCTCATCTTTCTCCCATTCACTTCAATGTAACTTAAGCCTGTGGCCAATGTTATTATCTACGCTATTCCCCAAATTCTCAACAATTTTTGGCCGTAACTTCTCAACTTTATTTTTAAATTTATTGCTCCTGAAAAACGATTTTTGGGAAGATTATGTGTGGGACTGCGGACTTTGAGACTAAAATTGATATATCAACTTACCTTAAAAGCATGTTTTTAATTCATTTTTCTCTAGCTTATCATTATCTACTGAAGTTATTACATTAAAATAGTAGCTTTTAGAAAGTATAATTTTAAAAGTCTTAGTTAAACCCATGATTAATGATAAAGATAAAATACATGAAAAAATATACCCATAGGTGCAAATACTATAGAGTTTATCATTAAACACACTATTTTAAAAGATCAACATTATGCTATAAAGAAAATACATATACTTACCAAAGTAATCAGCCTTGGGACATGCATCCATCTCCTGCTCCAGGCGCTGAGTAAGAGCTTCTAATTTTAATTCAGCAGTAGAGGGCCCTTGTTCCTGCTGTGGAAGGAGCATCTGACAGGGTAATTTAATTTTTGCAGAACCAGACATTTCTTGGTGACCAGAGTCATGCTGCTGAATGATGACACCCTCTTTAAAAGGAGATTTGGGAACATCAGAAATCATTGGTCCATGAGATGCTGCAGTGATAGAATTTTGCTCAAGACTCGGGCCAGATCCAGCAGAAGTAAGCCTGTGATTTTGACCATGAACTACAAAATGATCTGAAGTATATGGATGAATATTGTGCTGCTGATAATCTGCACTTGATGGTGCTGGAGTAGAAATTGAAGGCTGAGTGCTATCACTATGTCTTAAGTGACTGTCACCACTGCTTCTATTTGGATGAAAATTAACAGACTGATTTGAAAGAGTCCTAGAAGGATGTGTTGATGTAACAGAACATGAGGAAGATCTCGGCTGTGAATATCTCATGGGTGATTCATCACCAACCCCAATTGAAGACAAGGGGGTACTAGCATGAGAAAAAGATGATGATCTCTGGCAAACTGGGTTTTGGTTACAGCTCTTACTAAGTCCAGAGCCTTCACTCCCAATTTCCTGACTTCCGTACCCACTTTCTAAAGATCTGTAAGGGCTCTGGGATTGTTGGCATAGATGGAGATCTGTGTGAGGTTTTGTAGGGCTTCTCTGCAATGACTCATCTTGGCTAATGTTTGACCATAAATGGGAGCCCATATTGGATTTCTGGCTGCAAAGCTTACCAGCATCTTTCCCCCTTCCTTGAACACCTGTTTGATTATCACCATTGCTGTGCTCATCCCATGATAGGGAAGGAAGAACTGCCTTAGAACTACACGGGTCCATCTGACCTGGTCTGTGGCAACTGAGTCCTCCAGGAGCTTCTGGACCTCGTAGATTGTTGTTATATCCAGTGTCATCTTGATATAATTTTGTTCGCTCTCCATCACTATGACCTTGAGGCTGGCTTGGGAAAGCGAGCTGATGACCTGCACACACTGTTGATGATGCAGCCAAAGGAGGCTTAGCAACATTTTCTCCTGAATGCAATTTATTTGTTCCTGTGGCGTCTCTGGCTATAGAATAACTTGGAAGCTGAGCACCAAAAGTAACCCCACCATTTGAAGCCCCTGAAGCTCCTTTCATCAGCTCCTCTTGTTCTCGTTGTTTCTGAAGGTGAATTTTGGCCATTTTTGTAGCAAAAACTCTTCTGGTTTCTTCAAATTCTGGGTTATTCCCAACAGCTTTGTCTACTCGAAAGAGACCATCTTTGGAGGCTTCATACATATTGAGGTCTTCTATAAATTTACTTGCCTCTAAACCCAGATCATCATATTTATCCATTTTTAAATGTTTACTTGCTCATCCAAACAGTAATTGAAAAAAATTGAGTCAATAATATTTTTAATACTGTTATGTTAAACACAAGATTTCCACTCAGCCATCAGCAAAACTTCATAGTTACTAAAATTCCTTGATACTTCTTATGAGAAAAAATAGGGAGGAAAAACTTCACATTTCAGGGTATTTTTTCGAAAGAGCTGTGTATTTCTTAGATTACCCAAAGAAGCCTTTAAATGCTGGGTATCCCTCAAAAATGATAAGGTACAAGTTCTTTGAACTTTCAGTTTGTGAAGAAATCTACAGCTACCACAAACATTTCTTCAATTCTGCCTAGCGTTAGGCAGTACTTCAGAGAAAGTACTAAAATTAAAAGAGAAAAGATTAGTTTAGCAATGAATCCAAGCAACGATATACTCTTGTCATGAGTAAAGGAATTACACCCTAGCTTAATATTAACCTTCAGGCCAATGTTATTTAAGTGAGTTTTGTTTACGGCACCTCGAACATTTACAGGCTGAAAAGAAAACATACCGTGATGGGGTACACTGGAAAAGCCCCCGAACCCCGAGGAAATAAAGACAAGCTTCGGAAAAACAACAATTTAGTTACAGAGGCGGAAGGAAGCCCGTTCCAATCTTCTCCCCAGCTAGAGGAAATCTCTGCTATTCGCACGTCTTGCCTTTCACCTCCCGCCTTATACATGAAAGAGTTATTTATCTTCTCTCTCCCCGAGTCCTCCCCAGATTTCCTTCTTAACTTCCTCAAGACTAGACCCAATCACTGCTTTAACATGCGCCTCCGAAGCAAAACAGGAGAGAGAGACTGGGCGATGCCAAACAGCCCGCGTGCAACCTTGGCTAGACCTACCCGATCTGGCATGCAAGCATCCGGATGATCATTGGTCGGCACCACAGAATTAGAGCTTTCTGTATCCGTTTGCTGCCATTTAGGACGGCCTGTCCGGATTTCTGTAGCCCCGCTCTCTGCAGTTCCCGCGCCGCGGGGCCGAAAAAGACCTCCTTCCACGCGGGCTAACCCGGGATGTTCTGTTGCGCGCGAAAGAACGACGCAAGAGCTCGGCAGCCCGGACTCGTGGACGCTTCCTCTGAAAGAACAAGGCCGGCTTGGTCTCACCGACTCCCAGGTAAGCGCGCGCTCAGCCACAGACTGACTTACTCCAGTGCTGGTCGTGGGAAATGAATCGTTTGCTTGTTTTCTCGACGTCGTGGCACTTCGAGGGCTGCGATCGTGTTGGGAGGTCACGCTTCGCTCAAGAGGGCCGTGGCGTGGCGGCTAGACGCCGTCCCCGCCCCGCGGTCGGTTTTGCTTTAATTTCTTCGCGCTTTCCCCGTTCCAGCTCAAGGCTGTGGGCCGTTGAGGCGCTTCGGGCGCCGCCGCCTCTTCCTTTTCTTTCCCCAATTCCTCTTCTTCCAATGCCACTAGGCTACCGGAGGAGGAGTTTGCAACGTGGTTGAGAGTGCGAGATGTGTCAGCGCCCGTTGGTAGTGTCGATTCAGGAGGGGCGGCGGAGGGGGGGCGGGGATAGTCCTGCTCTTCTCTCTGCCGTGCCAGTCAGTCTGTAAAGGCAGGAAGAGCAGGCCTCGTAGCTTTCGGCTTGAGCCAGCGCTTCAGCGCCGGGCCAGAGTTCAGTCCCAGCAATGCCGAAGCTGCGCGGGCCGAGATCCGCGCAGCCAGAGTCCGGCCTCAGGCGGGAAGGATGCGTCTCGGCCCACGTTCGTCGAAGGCAGCTCGCGAGAAAGAGATCCTTTACTGAGTTTTGACCGGCGCTTCTTTACAAAGACCCTAGTACTTCCGTAAAACTCCTCCTAACAAAGCAGGAGTGAGCAAGCTGCAACCTTAGGACCCCGTGCAACCCGCCCCCCATTCCCTTTTCGGTCTTCAAAGCTCATCCTAAACAGGACTGGAAAACCGAAGGCCCAGCTTCCTGTCGTTTAGAGGTGAGAACGGTTAAAACTAGTGTAAGCCTAAAACTGTATTTTAAAAAACAGCACTGACGATAACCACGTGTCATGCGTCCCATTCCATTCTACAGCCATCGCCATGCCCTCTGCTTATTAGCTGCTGCTCTTAACCACTAAAGGGTTGCCCAGCAGTGAACCACAAATTACCCTACCACATTGTAGCCTACCAAACTCTATAAATTCAGCCCACAAACGTGGTAACCAGAAAATTGGATTAAGTAAACCATGGATAAATTAAGCATACATAACCATACTGTTCTACTACTGGCATAATGTAGACAGAAGTTCAACAAGTTAATAATTATTTCTGCTACTGTCCATTGCTCCATGACAATATAATGGCAGACAAGTATGAATATTGGCAGGAGGGAAGTAAAGAGTACCCCCACCAAGAATTCTGTTATTCTAGAGTTCTTGGGTGGAGGGTAAACTTCATCTCTCAGAAAATTTTCTCAAGAGATCATTTTACAAGTTTAATACTTTGTTGTTGTTCGCAGTCAGCCAGATGTTTAGACTGAATTTGGCATTTTTATCCTATCGAGTCCTTCCCAAGGACCTGGGATAGGCAGATGTCCTATTATTATTATCATTATCATTTCCTCCAATGCAAACCAAGAAGTGATACACTAATTGACTTGTATGAGGCAGGCAACCTCTTTTGCCAAAAATCAGCTAGGTTGTATGGAAACATTTTTCATCTCCGCCTAGAACTCAAACCAAGATTTTTTGGGGGAGCAGTGAATTTTCAGCAAGAGTTCCCCTTCCTGATAAAAAAAAGTAAAATATATCCATTGGCTTGCACTGAGAAGAAAAAATGCGTTTTGCATAAGAAACCAGCTAAACAGAATGCTGCCCCTCAACAAAAAAGGCAGAAGTCCCAGGCATTCTTAGTAGGAAATGGTGGTAACCACTCCAACAATTTAGACAAATGTCATTAGAAAAAAGATCCTGTGAAATGCAGGGGAGTGTGTGCTGTCAAGGAACACTTTGCCTCAGTTAAGTTTTGCTCTAATGTCCTCACCTTTCTAAACTTGGAATGCATCCAGGTGTGTTGAGAATGTAGCCTCAGAATTCCAAAGCCAATGGCAAGAAAATTAACTTGGGAAAATTAGATATATGTTAGTTGATTGGGGTAGTTAAGTGGCAAGTACTCCAGATTCAGACAACAAAATGAGCCTCTGATAAGGCTTGTTCCCTGATTAATGAACTATAGTGGTGGAGTTGGTGGGGGGTAAAGGTAGCACTGAATGTTTCCACATTGTGGTCTGTCCTTGACCTTTTGTTTTGGCTTACTAATCTGTTGTGCAAAAATAGCCACCGTACTTAAGGCTGTATTTTTTGCTCTCTTAATAGAGGATACTTATGATGAAAATTACAAACAGTTCTGAACTATTCTCGGCATCTCTTATACACAGGACATTTGCAGACCGAAAACCAATTATGAAAATCATCACCTATTAAAGGGAGAAAAGCCTTAGAAAAGATATGCCCAGGAAACACATTCCCCAATCCTTCTAGCTTTTATAGTGCTTTGCTCGCATTGTATAGCTGCCTCAGCTGTTTCAGTTCCTGTTCTTCTACCTGGATAGGATTCCAAAAAGTGCAGATATTGCTTGTATGTAAGGTATTACATTTAGGGAGGAAAAATGTAGAGCTCACATACATACAAGATGGGAAATTCATACAAGCACTCCATCAGAAAAGAACTTGAGTGTAGTCATTGTGGCCAGCAGTGCAAGGCAGCAGCTAGAAGGGCTATTGTAGTTGTGGGCAGCATTAGAAGAAGCATGATATCAAAGTTGGATGAAGTGCTGCACATTGCAGAAAACAACTAGATGATCCTTATGGACCCTTCCAGCTTCACAGTTCTATAACTACAACAGTTATTTGCATAACTGCAGTGTTGCTTAAAGCAGAGGTCAGTAAACTATGGCCCCAGGGGCCAAATCTGGCCCACCACCTGTTTTTCTATGACCCCAAGCTAACAATGGGTGGGAAGCAGGTCACCAGATCTGAGCCTCAGCTGAGCTCCCAGAGCAGGGCGGGGGGCCTGGCATCCTGGGCAGCAGTGGCCTATCAGCAGCCTCCATGGCCTGCAGACCTGCCAGCTGCACCCGCAGAGGAAGGGCAGGATCTGGCCCTTTACAAAAAAAGTCTGCCAATCCCTGGCTTAGAGACAACAGAGAAAATAATTTCCCTATGTGCAATAACCTGTCATTTAACTAATTTTTTAGTTTGATCTAGTGGTTAAGGCATCAGGCTAGAAACCAAGAGACTGTAAGTTCTAGTCCTGCTTTAGGCGTGAAAGCTGGCTGGGTGGCTTTGGGCTAGTCACTCTCTCTCAGCACACAATGTCAGGCTCTGGCAACAAGCCGGTCGGTCAATTCCTGTTGCAACCAAATGGATCAACATTTGGTTGATTTGAAAAAAAAAAAAAAGCAGACCCTGTACCTGCAGGAAAAATGTCAGGAAGAAAAAGAAAAGTGTTCAGTAATTATTAAATTATTATTTCATGAAGTTTAAAGCAGCTTTTAATGCCTCCTTGACATCACTGTTCACTAACTTGGAATGCACTATCCAGCCATAGTTAGGTTTTCCCTTATGTCTGCCAAACATGATCAAATACAGAGAGCAACTGTCTGAGAGGAAGGATGTTTGATCTTCCCATGGGATCAGTAAGGTTGCCATGAAGTTTCCCATTTTACTTATAAAGGCCATGGTGGCATTTTGCTTGAAGTTCTTAAGGGCATGTACAGATATTGAGCAGTTTCAGAGTTTGACTATATGCAAGCTTTTGACACTAAAATACCTGGCTTTCTATAGAGAATGAGGCACAGGTGCCACTGCTTTGTTTATAGCAGAATTCCTAAGCAAACTCCAGTCTTCTTCCCTTATTTTTACTTTGTGGCATCCGTTTTTCTCCTTCCTTCCAATCTTTTACCAAGTCCACTAACTCTCTCTTCAAGAGAGAGAGAAGAGAGTGGACTAAATAGTGTAATAGCATCTCTTAGAGGACCTGCTTGGCATGGATACCATTATTTGATGACAGGTCACACCATTAAAATGAAATGTTTCATTATTTAAGCGCCCAATCTCATGGACAGTTTGGAAGACCATTGCACTAGATGGAACGTGTATTTTAAGTTTGGTTGCAAGGTGCACGTGCTACAGAGTGTTTTCTATTCAGGATTTGCATATCAATGCATGTTAACTTCCCCTTTCCCAACCGTTGAACAATGGCATCCAAGCAAAAATTGTTTAGGGCTCATGCTGAAAACTAGGCTCCTACTTCGGACATATTATTCAAAGACCCAGCTCTTGGAAAAGCTTCTAATTCTGGGAAAGCTGGAAGGAAAGGGAAAAAGAGGTCAACCAGCAGCAAGGTGGATGGACTATGTTACAGAGGTGATGAATGCACCTTTGGACGACCTGAAAGACCAGGTTAGGGACATATCATCATGGAGAAAATCTATCTATGTGGCCACTAGGAGTCGAAGACAACTTGATGGCACATAGTCATAATCATTCATGCTGAAAACAATTCAGATCATCTCTTTTGCTCATTTAAATGACGCTTTTGCAGTTGTGCTACCTAAGTTGAAAACAGAGCATCCGGGAACATGCAGCAGTAAGAATCTTTCAGTTTTATCCCGTGGTATCCTCCATCTCCTATAATATTTAGCCATCATCATCCACATTGGCTATGCTGGCTGGGAATTACAGAACTGAACATGCCATGCATCTGAATGGCACTTGGTCCTGGAATACCGCCTAGAGTAAAACAAGTAGTTTCACAGATTACTGAGCCTATGTCAACCTGTGCCTTCTACTCTTACTTGAAATAAATAATGCAGCTAATAATACATATGGCCCAACTTGGAATACTCCTAGATTACCTGTTGCTAGTGTGTGGGAGAAATGTAGCAATAGTTTATAGATTGGACTAAGGCTGAAGAAAGCAGTCCTTGTTTAGCTGGGAAGTTTCCTGTGTGACTTTGCAGTCTATAGTTAATTCATAATGTTAGGCCTACCATATCTGGATTGCAAACTCTTCATAATTACTAGTTGGAGATCTGTGCATCTCTTTGCTGCCATCTAGTGGTTGTCTGGATTTTTAAACCCATAACTAGTAGCCCTAGTAGTAGCATGGTTTATCTGATTTGGGATTACAGCTTTATATATCTTTATTGTGGTTTGTAAATCGTGATTTTGGTTAACAGTAAACAGTGATTTGTAAATTGTGATTTTTGGCTTACATGGTTTGGTTTATTGATTTAGTGAGATTGTCAATTTCCAGTCCTGTAAAATCTCTAAAGCAGTCAGGTTATCTTCATTCCTCAGAATGTAAAGACAGACTAAGAACACTGTAAGAATAAATTACCGTTGGAGGTGAAGCAAGTCCTCTCCTTAATAGGCTCTAAGGGAGGGAATTTTTTTCTGCTGGGGCCCCTGAAACTCAGGAGCCAGGAGAGGTAAGACAGTGAATTCCTTGAAAAGAAGAAACTGGCTCCAAAAAGGAAACTGACAACACAGTTGAAAAAAAAGGGAGGGGGATTTGGGTGATGATGATGATGTTTTTACAATTTGGGCTACATCATAGCTAAACTGGAAATAAATCAGGTCAGCTTCCAAAAGCCAATATCATGAGATTACAGAAGTCCAGAACTGCTTTTGAATGTTTGCAGCCTTCCTGTGGAAGTGCCCTCAATTTAGCCTGCCTCAGTGAGGATATAAATTCAAGGAGTAGAGGATTATGTAGACCATTGGGAATTTCCACGAGATGGAAATGCAGATTATAAGATCTAGAGATGAACATATGTCATTTTGATAGGCTAACAAAGTAGCTCGAAAGTGCTGTACCTGAAATTGGTATATTCTGGATATTCCCACATAAATCTTAATTCCTTGTTAGAGCAAATACAGTAACTGTATTAGACAAGGATTGCTCAGAATACATGCACTTTTAATTT